TTACTCAATTGACTCCCATCCCAAATAGCTAACATCTTTTATCTTTTCCGTCATTAAAAGTTAACACTTACTAAACAGTTTACAAAAGTATCTTTTCAGCTAGTTGTGCCAAACATACTACTAGTATATATAATTCGATTTCAAAGCTTTTGAAATAAACACTAACACACACATATTAGAAATTATTAGGGTTGGGAAAAACCGAACCGAAACCCGGAAACCGACCCTAACCCGGACCGAATTATGATCTCGGTCCGGGTTTTTTCTTTTTAACCGGCCCGAATAAAAAACCCGGACCGAACCCAAAATTTCGGGCTCATTAACGGGCCCTAAAATTTATAACCCGGCCCGGACCGATAAAAACCCGAAACAATTAAATTTGATATAAAATCAATATAATATACCAATATAATATATTAATTAATTTCTAATATATAATTATAATCATGGGTTGACGAAGAAATGATTTAGTAACTTTTAGTGACTACAAACATGTTCAATTTATTTACTGTAATGACCATGAAAATATATTTATAGTAACTTTAGTCACATTTTTATCCATAAATTTTATTTCGTAACTTTTTTAGAAAATCTATATTATTTATTTATATGCATCTTAAACCAAACATTATGATAATTGTCTTCTTTAGATTTGAATTCTTGGTGATTTTGGAGACTATTATTTGTGGTTTGTACTTTTGATTAATTTTATTTAAAAATAGGTTTTAAAATATAAAATGAAAATGAGACGATTTCACATCCGGGCTTTAACCGGCCCACCCCGAACCCGGGTTACAAAAAACCCGACTCGGACCGAATATAGTGGGTTTTGTTCTGGTCCCTGATTTTCATGACCCGAGACCTTACGGGTAATTTCTGGGTTTAGCTAAAACCCGACCCGGACCGATCCCACCCCTAGAAATTATGCATATAATGTGTGAAATATGTTGATATTTATATCGAAGTTGATAATCCCGAACTAAGCATAAACTATTTGATTCGTATGCAATCACTTTGCCCCAGGACTTTGTAAGTTTCCCCTATTTGAATCAGGAGAGGAATAAAATATGAAGTACTACATTTGCCTCATTGAACTTTGTCATGTTTGAATTGGTTGAAAGATTGTATGGTTAAGGTTTGTAATTTTGTATAGAGGATAGAAAAATAAGTACAGCTGCAAATTAATTAAACCGACCATACCAAACCAACAAGCAGATTATATTTAGACAAATATAGAATACATACAAATCAGACATCCTTCAAATCAATTCAACAAAAAAAATCAATTCAATTAAAAACATTTTAATTCTTCCTTTTACTTTTTTCCCCAACTACAAACTTTACTTCTCGAATTTTAAGAATACCACGATAAAGTTTTCGGAATTTTCTTACAATAAGAATAATAACGTTGTGATGTTCTATAATGGAGTACTAAGAGTCCGTTTGGAGACATCTTTTTTCGGCTTATCAGCCAACTTTTTCACCAAACACATAATTTTTACTTTCGCCCGCTGGATTGTGTAATAAGCAGAAAAAGTAAGGTTGGAGTTACTTTCCCGGCTGTATTGGCTGAAGTTATTGTAGATGACCATTTTAGCTATTTTTACATATAATTTTTTCTTTATTTTATTAATAAAATATATTTTTAAAATATTTTTTTCTTGAATCAACAGAATAAGCCAGAACAGCCACTTCAGCCAGAACTTCATAAATTTCAGCAGAATCAGCCAAAACAACCGATTTTGGTGCTACCAAACGGGTTCAAAGTTTATTTACAAGAATTACAACAAACTCTTTACATCTTTAATTTCGGAAGGGTGACAATTCTTTATATCCATTAATCTACTTATAAAATAGCACACTCAAGAAATATCAATCCTCTTATTTGATAAATCAATGATAACTATTTTTTTTTACTCCATGGGGTCTGAGGGAGGAGGGCTGGGGCAGTATTCAGATCTGAAACTCACTCCATTAAGTTTTCAACTCTTGTGTGCCTAGCAGGATTCGAACTCGAGACCTCCCACTAGGCACGGTAACCTCATAACCAGCTGGGCTGGAATGCTTGGTTTATCAACCTTAACTATATACATATACGGAGTATTAGACATGCAAGCTAAGTACTTCATATTTGGATAACTATAATTTTTGTTCTTATTATATATCACTAGTTTTTCACCCGTGCGTTGCACGAGATGTAATATGTAGTCCACCACCGATCCGACGGTGGTGGAGTTGACATTCATTCATATTGTAAGAGCTCGTCCTCCTCCGGACCACTCTATACCAGGAAGAACTTTGTGGAAAGATCTTATTTCAATATTATTTTCTCTTTAGTCGCGCTTGTTTCTGTTTTAGTCTGAATGTTTGGATTTTTGGAGTTCCTTTGATAGGTAGAGTTTCGGTTCTGATCGTTTTAGGCCTAAATTTGCCCGTTTCAGGTTTAGCGAGTCATGTTGCTTTGTATGAGGTAGCTGACTCTAAGTCTACTCCTAGGGTTTACGATTGGATCTGTAAATTATGTCTTATTGTTGTCTTCAATGTGCTCTCAATTTTAATATAATAACCGCTCTTTTATGATAAAAAAATATTAATTCTAGAAAATCAATGTTTGATACTCTATTTATTATGATTTGCAAGATATTACAGAGTAACATTTAATATTTATTGTTTAATTAAGTGAAACACTTGTACATACACTTAAGTCTATTGCTATAATATCAATATGTTGATATTTTAAATGATAATTTACATTTTTCTTGTTGTTGCATGACAATGATATTTTATTGATATTATATACTACAACATTCAATCTTGGCCAATTCAAGATTGATATTTTATTGATATTCCACATACCACTACAAAATGGTATATTTTCTTGTTTGTTATCACATAGTTTTTTATATTGAACAAATATGTATTAATATAAATTACTTTAAACAACATAGCAGAAAACATGAAACTTTAGAGCATACATATCTTTGTCTAAAGAGAAAGTAGTACGGAGTATAAGTTATTTACTGATAAAATTTTAACTTGCCAATACACTGTATATAATTCATAAATGAACTTGCGCATTTAATTAATATAGAAAATGTTTAAATTGGTATACACGGACTCTCTAATTCATTGCTTGAAAGTGCATTTGTTTCTTTTTTTTAATTATGTATGTTTTTGTATTGTATAACTATTAATACTAGTTTGATATTGTTTTTTTTTCAATTACTATTTTTCTAATAAAAAAATTGGTAAAAACAGAAAAAACCGAACCGAAATAAACCGAACCGAACAACCCATAATTCCAAAATTTTGAACATAAAACCGAACCGAACTTTTCACTTTGGTTCGACATTTGTTTAGGTGAAAACTGAACCGTTTGAACTGCATAGCCTGCACTCACCCCTATTTGAAATGAATACAAGTTCAACAATTTGATTTCGATATATATCTTAAGCAATTTAAATTATAGTTATTGTAGTTACTCTCTTTTCAAATATAATTATAACACACAAACAAAAATAAGGGGTTCTTTCGCTTCCCTCGCCTTCCCCTCTCCGCCCAAACATTCAAAATCCCCCCTCTCCTCCCAACCATACCTCAGAGTATTTCAATTATTCTTTTCTATGATGCATAGTCAGCTTAGGGCATTTTATATAAAGTGAATCATGGACCCATGACCCATGGTGGATGATTCCAATGAAAACTTTAGCTTCTGAAGTACCTTGAGCGGATATTATGGGCACGTGGATCTTAAGTGGTAGATGAAAATAGTAAAGGTTTTAATGAATTTTGGTGATGTTTATTTATATAAACAAATGGATTTAAGGGTGTAAATTCGGAGGGAATAAAAAATTGATGGGTGTGCTTCGGAGGGAGTTTTTTTTTTTTTTGATCGGTGCTTCGGAGGGAGTTATGAACCATTTTAGCCTTTGGAAAATTGGAATGGGAAATGTGATTTTATTTATTTGTTTGCGTGGAATGTGGATAGGGTGTTTTGGCCTTTTATACCATTTTTGGATACTTTTAGTGTCAAACGCACATACGGAGTAGTGGAGTACTCCGTACTATATTTTTTAATATGTACTTCGTATGTCACTACTTTATGAGTTTATGCCCGAAACTAGGCATGGACCCGGTTCGGGCCGCCCGGCCCGGGACCGGCCCGCCACTGTGCGGGCCCGGAACCGGCCCGGTTCTCGGGTCCGGGTCCGGGTCGGGCCTAGGCCCGGTGGGGGCGGGTCCGGGCTCGGGCCTAGTATTTGGCGAGCCGGCCGGGTCGGGCCCGGGCCGAATTGATTTTTTTTTATTTTTTTTTTCATTTTTTGGGGTTAGCTGGGTTGGCTTGATGATTAGGAGGGGTTTGGGGGTTTGGGGGGGGTGGGGGGGGTGAGTGGGGGGGTTAGGAAAGCAAAAAAAAAATTATGACCGAACCGGAGGCCCGGCCCGGCCCGGACCCGGACCCGGTGGCTACCCGGGCTGGTCCCGGGCCTTCCTTCCCAAAAAAAAAGCCCGGCCCGGCCCGGCCCGGTTCGGGTCCATGACTACCCGAAACAAAATGAGGCGTTGGGAGTAGTCCTGAAGATAATGAGATAACTCCTCCATGCAACAATCAAGTTTGTTTATGGCAAGTAGTCATGGAGCCGGTTCGGGCCGCCCGGCCCGGGACCGGCCTGGCCCGCTACTGTGCGGGCCCAGAACCGGCCCGGTTCTCGGGTCCGGCCTCGGGCCTTGTATTTGGCGAACCAGCCCGGCCAGGTTGGGCCCGGGTCCGGGCCGAATTGATTTTTTTTTTTTCATTTTTTGGGGTTACACCCGGGTAGGGCTTGATGGTTAGGAGGGGTTTGGGGGGTTAAGAAAGCAAAAAAAAAAAGAAATTACCAAACCGGAGGCCCGGACCCGGTGGCTACCCGGGTCCCGGGCCTTCCTTCCCCTAAAAAAGCCCGTCCGGGCCCGGCCCGGGTCCATGACTAATGGCAAGGCAAAACATTGACATGCTGCACAAATGGTAATTCGCCGACTGAAATTATAGTCTAAAATCTTATTATAGGATGTTTGCAGCACTAGGGTCATGATACTCGGGTAATGGTAGCGATGATGATACATTTTATAATTAATAAAACAAATAAATTTGAACTGAAATAAATTCAAGTGAAAATAGAAGTCTTCAATCTCTTGCTCCCGGTAGTATTTGCCATTCGGGTTTCTTGGTTTATTGCTTTCGCCATTCCATTCACCACCACATGTTATATTGTTTTTATTCCACGACCTACCATTATTTGAACTAAATTCATAAAAACTAGTTTATGAATGTTTCATGTTGAAATGACACCTTGGTGTACTTATGAATGACAAAAGGGAAAACCACATCCAACCATTATAGACACTGAATATCAGGGCATCAATTGACACTCACCATCATTGAAAATCATTTTGCAATTTAGACACTGAAGTTGAGGCATATCAATATGCCATTTTTGCAACAAAATGGCATCTCAAACTTCATGTATTTGATTGAAGCGGCCAATTGCCTGCAACACTGTGCTCCTATCTTCATAGGCAAAATTCGAACTCAGATATAACAGGTTAGGTAGCTCCTCTTTCAACTGTGCATAGAATACATGAGAAACCTGCAAGCAAAAAAGTAAACCAGTTATCTTTACCACTTTGAGCAAATGAAACAAAGGCTTTGATTATGGCTGTATGCTGTACTCTTAAACTAAGACACAATTATGAGATTTTTTGCAACACAGGTGCAGCAACACTCCTAAGAAGACGATAGATGCACTTGGTAGCATTTGTTTGCTGAAAATTCTGTCCAATCAAAGTATCATGTAACGCAGTAATACTAGCAGAAGAAAACAAGTCATGCTATTCTATTGTCTCGTATGTATCGATGCCTGTTGACCTGTTGCTCAGAAGGGTTAAAACGCTTCACCCAGAAATATGCAAAAAAAAAAAACAATATAATTTTGCTAGTTTCCAAAAACCTAGTTTAAGGATTAGCAACCCCTCACATGTTTTTTTTTAAAATATTTCGACAACCAATCCCGTCAGTCAACCTGGCCCACTTTTTCACCCCCATTTGTCATATGATATTTAGAATAGTGCTAAAGGCATAAAAAACAAAATTGGGCATTTGGTCTAGCTGTACACTGCTAACTTGGGGAGCAAGAGGTCCACTGTCCCATTCTTGGATACCCCATGACTCCCCATGATTGGTGGATGATAAGAGGAAAACATGTCTTGGTTTACGACTGATTTGAGATTGAGGCTAGGTTGTTGTTCTTAGGTAAAGCACACAACTTTGAAGTGTCAATCAAGCGTTATAAATCTTATAGTACAACCTGAATAAGCAAAAATCTTACAAGGGGTTTAAATTCCAAACATTCAAATGAAAAGGATATATAAAGAACTAAGAAGCAGGCACACCAAAGAAATGAAGTTATGAAACCATATGAAAGGTTGCTGCACACCCTAAAATAAGCAGGGATTTCACAAAAGGCATTCTCATTCATACGATATATCATATGAAAAGGAGATAGTAACAAACGGGTATAACAAAAAAGCAAAGAGTTGCATGTTCTCGTGAAGAAACAATTGCGGAAACAACTAATTTCACTTAGGGTCTACCATCACAAAATACAAGTTGTGGATCAAAATGTAGAAGCTTACCTAAAAATATAGTATATCAAAAAAAAGGAAAGCACAAACCACCCAACAAGCTTGCATGTTTTCCGGTGTGATTTCTTCTCAAACACCTTACATAGTAAACCCATTATCAAAGTCCAAAAAAATTAATAGTAAATCACAACTGAAATTACATATACTTGTTAAGTGTTAAAAAAAGTTATTCTAGTTTATGTATACCATCTTGAAGCGGTCCATGGTCCTTGACATGATTCCTCTTGATGAATCCATCTCATTCCCCTAATTAAATCAATTAATAAAGGCAAGACTTCAATAATACTTCACAATACAATTCCCCAAAATACTTGCTGAGATTCTGTCATCATACCATTTTGTCAAGGACTCGGTTGTGACTTTCCACCTCCTCATGTATGTCACCAGTTAACTGTAAATAAACATTTCAGGACTTGAGGCATACAGAGATGTTAAGTTAATAGCATAGTGATTATAGAGCTAGTTTAATCTAACTTTAAGACGATAAGAGATGATACAAGTAACAAGAACATTGTTGAAATTATGGGGTAGTAAGTTCTGTGTGTCTATAGACACATATACCCACACATAAGAGGTTTAAATAGATACTACTGAATGAATGAGTACTTTTTATAACTGAAATATAAATGTGCAGACTCAAATGCATACATTAACTATATGATCTTGAATCCAGTCGTGTACAGTCACCATTGATAAAGTACCTTTTTGTGGTACCTATTGAACCCCGATTATGTGGGTGTGCAATTGTGCATGCGCACATGGGTGCATTTGTGTGTGTATGGTTCAGTGGGTATGTGGACGCGCCTGCGTGAGTGCGTGTGTGGGTGGCTGCATGTGTGCATGTCTATATGCATGGGCGCATGTAGGTATGTATGTGTGCACATGTATATATATTTGTGTATATCTAACGAAACAAACAGATGTATATATGTACTTCTTGCTAGAATTACTAGACTTACCACAGTATGCATCATCATCATCATTAGTCATTACCCCAGTGCCACAAAGGCTCCCACCTTTGGTGGGGTAGGGGGGGGGTCGGATGTAACAGTCTTACCCTTGTACTAAAGCACAAATACACCGTTTCCAAATGACCCATTGTGAAAATCGCGTCAAAAATTGCATGGATTGACTGTTGCTTCATAACATAGAAGCGCAAACAGTTTAATGAGCCATTTTGCTTTGTTCTTACCACATTATAATATGATTATAATACAACAACAGCATTACCCATCTGCTTTCGAGAGACTATTTCTGGATGACCCAAGATGAAAATCGCGTTGAAAACTGCATAGACGTGCTGCTTCATAACAAAGAAGCGCATGCAGTTTAGTGAGCCATTTTGCTATATTCCATCACTTTCTCAAGCCATAAAATAGTGAGTCTTTGGCTCCATTGAAAATGATGGAAAATATTATATGATTATAATGTTATGAGAAAATCACAAGTTCCACCCTATACTATACACTGAGGAGAAAGTGAATACTCCTCAGTGTATCAACATTAAATCACAACATAAAAATGCAATTTAGAATACTCAAGAAAATGAAAAATCGGAAAGAAAGGATTTGAAAATGAAAATTTGGAAAGAAAAGATTTTATAGGCAATGTGTTTGTTCACTTAGTTGGATGCTACTAGAATTGTAAGTGTTGAATTGTTTGTCTTCTGCTAAGCTGAGTCTAACTCACTCCAAAAGAATCCTCACAATGTGAGGTTTATATCATGCTTGTATACTAGAATCAAACCTTGTACTCTTGTAGACAACCAATATAGGTTACTCAACACAAACCCCACAGCCAGACCATAAAACTGAGGAGGTGGACATGCTTAATCAACTCAAAACTAGATGCCCCAAGCCATCGAGTGGCTACCATACCATGTTAAAAAATGTCTAATTCATCCAAACGGATCCCCTAATCTAGTAGACAACCTGTGTAGAATACTCAATATTTTCATAGCCCTTCGAACTTTAGAAGTTCTATTTATAGTAGCAAGACACCCGCTAGTCCTGCCATAGCATCACCATGGTTTCATACAATGGCCTTCACATGAAATTGTACTTCATTTCAATGTGCTGGCTACCAAACGTGTTCATATCTATAAAATAAACATGGTATCAACACCCCAAGTGAGGCACAGTGGATAGAGCACAACTTTATGTCTTTAGTGAGTACATAATTTACATGGGGGTGCATAGCGAGTTTATGAGATAAACCATAAAATTCAAATCAAGAAAAGGACATTAAGCTAACTCATCAAGCTCTCTAAACATCGTGACATGCACTATAAGAGTGCCCACACATCCAATTATGTGAAAATAAAAAAACGTTGCAGCAACAGTTCAAACTTAAAGGTCATGATTGTTTCCAAAAGAAAATTCACAAATTCTATAACGTGTCATGACATGAGAATCCAAAAATCAGCTAACACATCATTAATTTGTACTCCCTTTTTTCATAACTTTTCAGCATTTTGATTAGCATTTAAAACATGAGACAAGCACATAGTCAGATACTTATTAAAAGAATGCTTACGGTATGTAGCTAAGTTGAAAAAGTATCATTAAGAGTACGTCATTAATTTCTCTACTCTTTTTGTATACGTAGTACATCTTTACACCATTTAGATTAGCATTTTACACATGCCACAAACACATACATTAAGAGAACGCTTAATGCTGAATTCAGAGAGAATTGGGCCATCAGTCTGAAATACTGGGATGCAAAATGTAAGGGTCTACTTAGCATTTTGATCTCAATGTCATAATTTGTCTAACTTAAAGTAGATGGCATGGCCATAAAAATAAAAACATTTTACACTTGTACCAAATTGAACAACAGTGTAGTTGAAACTATCACCGTTGGCAGATAAATATTCTGACATCACCTAAGAAAATGACACTAATCATGACCTGAAAGATATGAGTTCAGATCCTTCTTCTTTAGCAGTACAAGAAGATGAACAAATGACCTCATAACAAACCAAATAAAAAGACGATAACATACAATATGAAATTCTATCATTGGAAATGATATCAACTACGGCTACAAGTAGCATGACATTAAGTTCAAAATTGAAATTTCTAGAGGGTATGGCTATATGACGCAGAGAGTGAGAGTGAACCTCATACAGAGTGGAAGATTCTAAAAATGGCACACGTAGACGGGAACAAGAGCCTTAAAAACAAAAAAATTACCTTCTTTAGAAAGCTGACTCTATCTTGTAACTTGTCCACGGCTTTATCATTATCGTGTTCATCAATGTCATGGGAGTAAGAACGTGTAGCCCTAATACCACCTTCCTCAATACTATCATATTTATCAAAGAGAGCAGACCTGGCAGTTCGATGATCCCTGTTCATAGATAAATCCCAACATATAAATAATATTAATGAGTGTTACTTGTTAGAAATAGGTCAAATTACTACCTTAAAACACAAAAAGGATCAGAAAGCTGATTGCTGGATAACAGACACTTTAATATTAGATGAACAGATGTTTAAAATCATAACCCTCATAACCTGCAATTGCATGTGAGCACATTTGACAAACTTGTTTCTTCAAAAAGGAGAATCCTCGGATTATTGGATTCTATGTTGATCCTATAAATCCATTTTCTTTTCACTGAAACTACTCTATCATGTCATTGGTATTTAGCTCAACTATTATTCACCATTTCGAATAATTCGGGCAATACACTGATACACGGTTACCACGAATTCAAGTAGCAAACACAAATGGGCATGACTATAAGCAATTGACGAAAAAGTCCAAATAAGCACATCGAATGAATATTAAAGCAAACATACATTTTATACAAATATACAAAGGGGTTACCCTAGAATTGAGAGCGTAGAGACAAACCTTCGATAGCTCATTGAATTGTATCAAGAGCGCCTGCCACGGAAGATCAATGCAATCGAAAATGCAAAAAATACCACTGTATTAGACAAGCAAGAATCAAAAAGAAATTTTGTAAGAGAACGGAACGCAAATATAGGCCTTGTTGGCAATTGTTGCGTCCAGGTTCTTAATTATTTGCAACAATTTTAAACAGCAATGCATTCTTCACATACTAGCAATTACAAGTATACTGCACTAGGTGACTACGATACCGTATATACGTATAGGCAGTGGCGGAACCAGGACTGGTGACTCGCAGGGGCACAATAACAAAGAAATCATATACTACGTACTACTCTAAAAAAAATCATATGCATCACGAATATCACTGATAGAGTATATGGGCCCGGACCCCATGGCCCACATACTCAAGTCAACGACGACCAGAAGAACACCCACGTGGCCCCCTTCGGCCAGTGGGTCCGCATCGGCCAGAAACCAAACCGGCCCAGGAATCACGCATGGACTTCCGGGAACGCATCGGCCCATGGACCGCATCGGCCATGGGACCGCATCGGCCAAAAGGCACCGCATCGGCCCGGCTTCGTACGGGCAGAATGCATCTCTCTACTTTATTTACTAAGTATTGTACACAGCCCATTAGTGGCCCTATTTCGCCCAAAGAAGGCATGATTATTGTAATGGGCCTCCTAAGCCCATAGCTGGGAGCCCAAATCCACATTTTTTCCTATAAATAGACCCCTTGGGGCTAGTTAGAGGGGGTTGAGAAATATAATTACTCACTTTCTCTCTCTAGCTCTCACTTCTCTCTAGAATTAATACTCTATCAATCACAATAAACCAAACTATAAAATTTAAATAAAATAACTACTTAAAGAGTACTTAATTTTGATTAGAACCTGACGCGTCAAATGAAGGAGATTCATTGAGAGGCGGCAATCTTTGTCTTCGAGGGGCCATATTCTGAAATCGCTTCATAATGACTTCATTCTCAATTTTAACAAATACATCTTTTTCAATGTAACACATCAAACAATCTGTCAAGTATTCTTCTCCCATCTTGTTGCGCAAATCACCAACAATATCATCATCGGACAATTCAACTTCTATTCGAGCCTTTTTAACATTATTGTCCTTGTTAGTAATGGCATTATCTGATGAAGAAACTAAATTATTCGATGAAGAACCACCAATGCTTGGCTGTTTAGGTTCCCGTGTATAATATCGTAACATAGCAATATTTTGTCAAACAACCTAGACCAATTACAATTGAAATAATATGAGTATAATTGTATAAATTACATTATAACAAATTAACAACATTAACTAAATCAATAAATACACAATTATAAATTTACAATATAATTAACATTTTAATGAGATTATCAGTTATCACAACATAATTGCCAAAAACTTCAACACTGTATTTGAATTCAACATATAAAAGTATTCAACAATTAACATTTTATTTGAATTAAACAAATACAAAACAATACATTAACATCCAAGCCTTAGTCCCAAAAGATATTGAGGTCGGCTAACATGTATCGATACATGATATCACCACCAAAAGGCTTCTAGTTCCTACTCGCTGACTCGCTGTTGTGATTTGCTAACGTTGTAGCTTGAACGCAGTAGCTTGAAGCCTTGAACGTTGACTCGCTTTCAGTTTCTGTCTTTGTAGCTTGAACTTAGTTACGTAGGGGCAGACCGCTTGAGTTGCGACTTGGGGTCTTGGCGTTTTGGCTTTCGAGGAGTTGTGTTGTGGGCTGCCCCAGGAAAGAAATTTTGGGATTGGGCTGGCACAAGGGAAAGGGCTAAGGTAAAGGGCTTTTGGGATTAGGTTGCAGGGGCTCAACTAATTAAATATTAATATATGTATATATATGTTATATATATAAAAAATCACTGCAGGGGCACGAGCACCCCCGGGCACAAGGCTGGTTCCGCCCCTGCGTATAGGAAATGTAGTATCACATATTCTACCATACCGTATATTCCCGAATTGTATCTGTAATTTATTAAAAGTTTTCAACTTTTTTTATAATTACGTAGTACTTATTTTACAATTCGGATACACATATCAACATTTCTTTATAAAGAATTCAAAATTTACATAATACGGAATAAAATTCTTAAAAATGAAAAACTAAAAATAAATTTCATTTTGTTTTAATCTCACACATAACTAAGCATATGAACGAGAAGTAAAATGTGGGGTGTTGGTGGAGATGACTTTGAGAGAGGGAAATATATATGACTACTTGAGTTTGACAATCTTTTCATTGATGAACCAGGATAGAAGGTTGTCTTTTGGGAAGACAATCTTACCCTAAAAATTAGTACGTCCCGTAGACATGTTTATTAGAACTTTTAGTTTTTATTAGAGTACAATTTTCTATCTCCATTATTCAAAAACTTTGAGCACTTGCACTTTTTAATTCAAAATTGTGATTGTATGCCTCATTTCTCATTTTAAATTATTGACTTGTTGAATATATTCATATTTCAAGATGCATTATTGTGTATATGAGATCAAGTATAAATTTATTTCTAACTATCTTGGTAATGTGACATGTTTTAATGTCATTAATGAGCAGAAGTCGGAGAATAATATATGTATATATTTTTCAAAAAAATCTTGGAAATTTAGTATTTCTAAATACCCCCATAATTTTTTATATTTATAAACACACCCAATAAATTTTAATATTTATAAATACACCCCTGATATCCGTATCTTACTTTTCTTTTCTTTTGTCTTATCTCGTTTCCGTGTTTCCCGGTTTCTGTGTACCCGTATCGGTGCTACATAGATACATACCAATATCAATATCAATATCACAAGTCATAATAATAATAATAAAGTGGAAACTGACAAAATATTTGATGAAATGTTTTGTGTTGATTAAAAAAACAACTTTAATGAAATATCCTAGCTTAAATGGAAAATAGCAATCTTCCTCTAAATGGCTAAACAAAAAAGTTGTCAATGTTGTATTGGACAAAATTCAAATGTTGGGTCTGTGGGGGTGGCAGTAGGCGGCATCATCCGTCTGGGGAGACGGTCGCCGTGTCTGTGGTGGCAGGGAGATGTTTTACTAGTTGCAATTGAAAATTAGGTCACTGAAACAGCCATGCTCTCATTGTGGCTGCAATGATAACTAGCAGATTATTGGTCACTGTGGCACTACAACCAAGTCCCAGTGGTGTCCCTGTGTATTAGGAGGGGTAATTTAGTAAAGTGTGTTTAGAAGTTCTCATATTTATTGTTATTTAGTCTCAATTAAAAAAAACTCTTTTTTGCCCATGAGCTATATACATTTTAGTAATATTATTGTCGAAATCCCAATTCCAATCCCATTCAGTTCTGATTTGGTTTTCGGTGCCAATTTCCTAATTTTGTATATTTTTACATTTTAAAGTTTAAATAATTTTTTAACAATGGATTAAGTAACACTACATGGTACTAATAAGAATAAAGGTTTTTAAAAATATTACTGAAATAAAAGAGTTCATGCAAAAAAAAATATAACTAATCATCATTATTATTGCTATAACTAAGTGCAATAGTTAGATACTTAATAAAAAATAGTTACAAATTAGGTTGTACAAATTTACAAGTGAATATTTTAAAATACTCAGAATAATAGTACATTATGTGTATTTTTTTGGAAAATTAGATTATGAAAACATATTACTAACGAACTAGAACCTCTTGTTTTGCAAATTCCAAAATTCTGGAGAATCTTGCTGGACTAGTGAACCTCCCATTCTAAACCGGAAGTCCGGATGTATTATGTTGTTCTGGTAGGCTAGGGGTGGACCCAGTCTTGGTCCGGTCCGAGACCAGGCGGTCTCATACTGTGATATGAGAAGCTCGGGTCCAACCCGTTTAAATCCGAGTCTAGGCCGGCTCTTGTCCTATGTCGGACTCGGTACAATTATATTTATTTTTTTCGTTTTAAAGGAAAAAAATGGTCGGGCCGAGACTGGAACCGGGCCCACAACCGCCCGATATGGTCCCCAAGATTCAAACTCGGGATCGGGCCCTCCGGTTACCCGGTCGGGTACCCGGTCTTGAACCGGTACCGGAAAAACGGATTCGGTCTGGTCACAGACAATGCCGAACCCGGTTCCGGACCAGGTCCACTGTAGGTTTTGATTTAAAAAATGACAGATCTGGTTCCGGTTAACCGAAAATGTAGACGGATCTAGCTAGACATAGGGAATACAAAGAACAAACTATTACCCATAAATCAATAATAATATATGTTGCATAAATAATTATTTCATACTTCAAATATTTAAATATGTTAAATTATTTATAGACTCGAGATTAGAATGACTCACGTTGGGGAAGGAAGTTCAATGGATGACTATGTAAAAGCATGATCGTCCTTTTTTTGGGTGTCACGGGTTTGAAACTTTTTTGTTTTTGTGAAGCCATCTCTTATATGTCATGCATGCAATGATTTATTATGTATGACCCGTTATTGGTGGAATTTTCATCACTGGTCTCCATCTACTAGCTCAAATCATGGGTACGTGTAGATAACTCCTATATGTTTTCTATGTATAATTGGTCCATGTTAAACTGTTTGGAATTTATCATGGATAGCTGAAGCCTAAAGGATCTAGAGTCTCTGCCTTGCTTTAAAGCAAGGCACATTGTCCAGCCATTTGGAGTCGTCGGATCATATCTTCAACGGCCAGAGATCTAAATCAGAGGTCCACATCTTGAGGCTTCATCTTCCCCACCAAACGGTCCCCTCTGGCCTCTACCGCAAGGCATTCTACCGCACGGTAGAGGATCTCAATCCAAGCCTGAATGATCATTTTTATTGAATATCCAGTGATTTAACCGCTCTTCAATTTCTTTTACCCTTTTATCGTTCCCAATCTCCTATGGATCTTATGATTACTACATTTCTCCGTTGACCTTATTGCCTCAATGAAAATTGCAGAAAAAATGTAAAAATTAACTTTGTTTTCAACAGCAGAGTCGAAATCAAACTCTCAAATTGGGTTTTGACTAATATGTTGTTGGGCAGGGCTGCTTAGTAAAACATAATAAGTTAATTGTTGCATGTACTTTTTCTTCTCTTCTTAGGTGCACCCTTTTTATTTTCTTTTTTTTATTTGTTCAGCTACTCTATCTTTTGATATTTTCTTTTTTAGTACTTTTTCTTTTGTTTTTCTTTTTTCAATATTAATGTAAAGGCAACAAATTTAAGTATGCATTACATTATTTTGTTATGAATAAATTATCCAAGTATACATTATACTGATTAGTTATTCATACTTTAGATACATGG